CCCTTGTTCTTTGACCTAATGAGCTCTTGGGGTCCTGGATGTAATTCAGGATTTTTGCTCATGGACACTCAAAGTGATGTTGCAAATATGTTCAAAGCCTCTGCAGTTCTGTGAAAAATATCACCTATGTCCCCTGCCTATGTTCACTACTAAAATGACAAGGTGGACACAGCAGTTAAGAGGGACAGAATGGAATCTCCATGTAATATTTTCAACTACTGTTCAAATACTACCTCCCTTTATAACACCTTATTTCCTTAGTCTAGCTGGCCCATGAATCTGTGCTTATCTGTATAAGTGCCTAATAAGCATGTAACCAGTAGGAACACACACACACACACACACACACACACAAACACACACACTATAATACCAAGAGAAGTATGGCACATTCTGGAGGAAATCAATAAATACCCATTTAATTCTAAATAGAATGAAAGTGGGAAAAGCATCTTAATTCTTTATATGCCTCTGCCCCAGGGAGTTACTAGCCCTGGGTAGGCATAGAGAGCAGGCTCTACAAGGACAAATACATACAGGTACATATTTTGAGACAATTCTAGTTGAAATTAGGCCCAAGGCCTAGGAGTCTAACTAATTTACAATGCTGTTCTAGAAAGACACAATTTTAGGAATGACAATAAATCTATGGATCTAATATAGTCCCACCTTTCAAGAGTCAACACAAAATTGATGATTTGGAAATTTTAATGGTTAACATGTTTTGTTTTACTTTTGTTTTTCTCAGATCAGAAGGTGTGTTTCCATTGTACCCTGTCAAAACCTTTCTCAGCAGTCAAGGAGAGGACAGCAACATAGCTGCTCTTGAGCCAAGTTTGTAAATCCTACTGGGAAACCAGCCCATGCTGTAAGATGACATGGTTTTCAGACACATCTAAATGGACTGGTTGAATTAAAGACCAACTCCAGCCTTGATGTTGCTGAGCTCATCAGCTCCATCTTGCCGTCCCGATTGGTCAAGATGGTCTATAGTTAATGGCATAGCACTTTGAGGGGTTAGTCATTAGAGTACACTGCTTTGTCTTGGGAAGGCAACTTCTTGCTTGGCTAGGTTTTGGAAGCTAAGGAGTGACGTCAAGATGTTGTCTGGCCAGAATTTGCAGATAACCATAGAACTCTTCTCCTCCATCAGGCATGGGTTTAGCCTCCTTTAGTTCCTGCAGGGACACAGGAGCCTCCAAATACCAAATTATTATCAGGCGGTCTTGGGGGAACCTCTGGGCCCTGCAATAAAGTAGACAAACTTGCTATTGGAAAGTGCTCGGGAGCAATTCAGCCCTGTTCAGATTGCTCTAAAACCCTGGAAACCATCTCTGGACTTTAGAAATGAAAACTAGTACATAGCTCCCAGTAGCGAGAAAGTACTTCATTCAGGGGACAGAATTTTCTCATCATCCTTCACTTAAACATTCTTATTTATCTTACTTTAAAAATTCTAGTTTGATCATTTTGTTTAATTTGTTTTTATTTTTTAAACAAAGCTGTGTGAGTATTGAGGCTGTATCACATTAAACAAGCCACTTTTGAGTATTATCTGTGAAATAAGGCATTTACATAGGCTGCACAGTATTTTAGGATATAATGCATAAGATCATAAACAGGTAGTGGACTGAGGACCACATCTCACTCACCCTGATGTACTCTTATTTACTCTACCTGGTGTTTTAAATCTTGGCAATTGAAATAAAATAATAAATACCCATTCTTTCTGGAAGAATTTGGTAATACTAGGCTCATGCTCCCATATTGCTTCCAGTATGCTACACCATTTTTCTGATCCAACCCATTTCTCATGTTGACCTGCCAGACCCCTGTAAAAGGAATGTAGGTAAAAGGAATGTAGGACCTTTCCTGTAACCTCTGCTATCTAGCTATTGCATTGTGATTATGTTATGATCTAACATCCCAGTGAGGTTCTGTCATTATCGTAGAATCTCTAGTTCTTAGCATTGTAGAAATATTATAGATAACCAGCAAATATTCAGTGAACTGAAATTCACTATCTAGATTAGAATCTTCCAATTCAGTGAAACGAAATGGAAATCACTTTTTGTAAGGTACAGCTATATTCTAAATTTAACACCTTTGAACAGCAACCAGCCTTGGGGAAGAACAGTAAATACACCAGCTTGTGACTCAAGCCTCTGACGGATCTTGGAAGAATGGACATAGCATACTAGCCACATGACAGTTTGTTTTAAGCACATGAGAAGTGTTCTAAACTATCTCTTTTTCCCAGATATCATCTACACAACTTTCCAGAAAAGTCCTTCTTCAAATGTTATTTAGAAGATAGTTTATTAAAAAGTATTAAGTGAGAATTACCTACTTGAAAGCTAAACTCAAATTTTCATGGACCTACAGCAACAGGTTCTCCTGTACATCTGGTCTGTCCGTTTTGAAATATTTTAACTTCTGGATTACTATAACTAGCATATCCAAAGAATGGGGTTTATTGTTGAAAGCTTATGTCTGATAAAAATATTTATCTCTGTTTTTACTGAATAATATATTATTAAAAGGATGTCTAATAAATACTATGCAATCAAGTTTGATAGGAATAAAGCCAATGAAAAGTGCCATAAGTCATTTTTGTTACAAGTTTGCTAGTAACTGGTATTTCAGTAATAGCCACATCTGATCAACAACTGGCCAACATCAAAGAAGCAGTATGTGTCATGAGATGAAGGAACAGCTCAACAGAGAAAGTGCTGCTCTCCAGGAGCTTACAATTTAACCTCAGTGAGACTGCATAGACACCTCCATGAAAGCAGGCATACTTGCTGTGGAGCAAAAGGCAACAGATGCATTGAGGAAAATTGAAAAAAAAAATGAGATAAATAGTGACAGGAAAGGGTGAAAGGAAGGAGAAAAATAAATTTCTCTTTCATTTTCATTTCCTTGAAAAAGTGTTCTTGGAAGTGTGATATTTAAGTATTCTTAAAATCATCAAAAAGTATATATGGCTTGGTGACTAAAAAAAATTCTCCTGGAATAAGGAATGACTTCAAACACTAAGCCAGGAAAGGACAGTCTAAGGAGGGAATGGTCAGGTGGACCTCTTTGGTCTGCAGTTGGGTGGAGGCCAGAATCTGAGAGGAGGACACAGGTCTCCCCAGTTCTCTTTCAATCCCTTTTAAGTGGGGATGACACAGAGTGTCTGAGGTACAGAACCGAGAGTCTCTAAAAATAACCAAAATGTTTGTGAAAATCTCCATGGACTGATGGGGATGACCCCTGAAAAGGTACTTTCAGGACTCCAAGCACAAGGAAACACGTCTGGTGCAGCAGTGTCCAGCTCAGCTTCTTCTAGGAGGTTTCCCCACTGCTATTTGGTTTGCTGTTTTGCTTTCTTACTCATTTGTTCATTTCTCTTATTGGACATGTTGGGTTGATGGTATTTGCTTGAGTTTTCAGATTTATCTGTCCTTCATTGAAAAGGAAAGCAAACTTTGTGAGGGCATGTGAAGTTTAGTCAACCTCAATTGTAATACAGGGAGCCTAAGGGAAGGGCATCATACACCCTGGTCCTGGTGGTGTCGACAGTGTCAACCTGTTCTATTCCAATGGAGAATGATCCACATGATCACAGAGTTTCTCACCATGGCATCCTGTTTCATCTTCCTCCATGTTTGACCACTACACATGCAGAACATTTCAAGGACTTCTGGAGGATTCCAACTTCATCAAAGAATGCTCATTTTAAACAATGCCTCAATTCATCTTGTTTACATCACAACAACAATATTAGAATTTAAAACATTCTTGATTTCCAATATTACCTCCAAGTTCAAGGATCTCAATATTCTTTATACACATTTTTCTATTTATCTTGTCATATTACAAATTCAACTAAAATCTATGGTGGGGCCCATTTCACACATTAAAAACTTGTAATACTGTTCTTTCTCATACTTAAGCTCAAATCCCCAACCTTAAACATACTTTAAGATAAACGTGACAGAACAGGAAGAAATTATAGGTGTTTCCATATATATTAACAGATCTGTTATTCATTGCTGGGCCTTTCCATCCCATGTGAGCTTTCAGCAAAGGATCAGTTCTACTTCACAATAGTCCTACCTTACTTGGGAGACAGGACAGGGGAATAGCATTTAGAACAGCCTAAGAACATGTAAACAGACAGAAGAGATCCACTTATCAGTGCCAAGGAAGCCCTGGAATCTGGATCACTGAATGTCTTGTCCCTCATGGCCCATTTTTCATATGAGGGAAGTTGTGGAGCTCCAGTAGCAGGAGACTGCTTCTCCACTGTGGTTTTATTTTTGGTTGCCCTTGAATCTGTGATGTGGATTTTATATTTGAGAAATGTCTCAGAAGACAGAATAAAGAGTTCTGAGATAAATCTCAAGCTTGCCGATGGAGGGTAATGGGTTAATTTGGTTTGGAAAAATATGTCAGCCTAATTCACATGCACATCATCTGCTTCAAGATCTCTTTGCTGGTGTGGCATAATTATAAGGCCTGGTGTTGGGAACTAGGACTGAACAAAGAACATGGAACTACCCAAAGTGATACCACCTGTGTGCAACACAGCACTCTCCCAACTACCTAGAGTAACATATTTTAATTATTTTCAATAAACCAGATTTAAATTACATCAACTGCTTGCCATTTATAACTGATGTATATGCATTCTAATAATGTTTCTGGTTTTTGTCTCTTTTTCAAGATAAGCATGCCTTGATTTCAACTTCATGTTGTCAAATGTTTTTAGAAAACAGATCCCAAGAGAAGTCAGTATCTCCTCAGAGTCTCCATCCCAGCAGGAGACACACCCTTTAGAATTCCATAAACAAGAGACTAAAATATCTAATCCATAGGCCAAAGGCTGCAAGAATCCTTAGACATCTCAGTGCCCTGAGCCCCTCAGCCTTTTCAGAGGCTCTGATAAACATGCTCACTGACACAGCTTTGCATCAGGAAAGGGGCCAACAAGTATAAACAGCTGTACTTACATGTGTCTGGCTTGAGCTGACTGTTGGTAATGCCAAAGTACTGGGGATTTTCAATGACAGGAATTTTGGTCATTCCAATAATGACAGCATCTGGGCCGCCCTCTGAAGAAGATGGAGTATTACTCCCATTGGAGATATGGTGCAGTGGGCTGGCGGAGTCATCATCATTGCTGATAACTGAAGCTGGGCCTGGCATTGGAAAAGATATAAATATTCTCCTGTAACTTAATGACTTCAATTGAGTGATAATTCAGGTATATAAAATTCATCAAGATCAAGCATATAATTCAGTGAGTTTTGGTACATTCAGAGTTGTGCAATCATCACTACAATCAAATTTTAGGACCTTTATCATCACCCCAATTAGCATTTATCCCTCATTCTCCCCATACTAAGTCCAAGGCATCCATGAATTTACTTTCCAGCTCTGTGAATGTACCTAATGTGACATTTCATAGAAATTGAATAGAATCATATATGCCCTTTTATAGCTGGCTTCTTTTACTTAGCATGTTTTTGAGGCACCTCCACATTGTAGCATGTATCAGTACTTCCTTTTTATTTCCAAATAATAATCCATTATATGGATATACTACATTTTCTTCATCCATCCACTGAAGTATATTTGGGATAGTTGTACTATTTGGCTATTAGGAATAATGGTACTGGGAACATTCATGTACAAGTTTTGTGTAGACACATGCTTTCATTTCTCTTGGGTAGAACTGATATCTCTGTGTTTAACATTTTGAGGAACCACCAAACTGTTTAATAAAGAGGCTATACCATTTTATATTCCCATCAGCAGTGTATGAGGGTTCTAATTTTTCACTCCCTTTCCTTTTAGTATGCAACTTTCCTCTCTGTTCTGTGAACACCTTCAAAACATTCTCACCGATGCCCCAGAATTAATTAGGATTCCTGTTTCACAGAATATGGAAAGCTGTGTTGGGATCTTGAAACTCTCAGTTTTCCATCTCCATTCTTTGAACAGGTCACTTATCTTCTTTATACCTCTCCATGTGCTTACAATGGTAAATGAAAGTAATATCTGCTTCTACTTGATGGGAGTGGAATGATACTAGTGATATGAAAATGCATTGTAAATTTAAATGTGCTCTATGAGTATGAATTACAACTAAGTATTCCTAAATGCACCTTAATTGTAGTAGGGCTAGAATTACTTTGGATTTTCCAGTTACCATATTCCTTTTCTTCCACATTCTATTAATGCATGTACCACTTTTGTTTACAAAATATTTTCATAGCAACAATAGATCAACCCTATGGTAAAGTCAGGTACTTTATCTTTAGCAGTAATATTATTTGTAGAGTTATTACATGGATGACTTCATATTAAAGTAATAATCATAGCATTTTTTCATACAAGACTTAAATTTTTTCAGCCGCAAACCTCAGAATGTATGTGCCTATACTTATTTAATCTACTGTACATAGTATTTGTATATATAAAATACTGTGTGCCTCACCAATATATGTAAGGTCTACTACTGTGTATTGTGTCTAGACAATTTATCCATCAAGCTCTAAACTCATACTACTTACAACCAAAAATAGATTTGTAATGTAAAGGTCCATTTGAAAGCTTCAAAACAATTGATAACTCATGGTAGATATCCCATACATGGGGAGCAGATAACTCTTGTTAGACATACATTTCACATGTATCTAAGAAGTGGTTCACTGGCCATGACTATTGGCATAAGAGAAAGGTGAGAAATGATAATGATAAGGAGGGAAGATAAAGGGGAGTGAAAAGGCAGAATAAAATACCCAATGAAAGCCAATCCCACTCTGAGGAAGGAAAAATATGAATTACTATTCCCCATGCAAGGAACACACACATAAAGGATCCATGTTTCAGCACTTCCCCACATTCTCCACTTTTTCCCTCACACTTACATGCTTCAGTGAAAATAAGAGCAATTTTGAAAACAAAATTGTTTTGCCAGGTAGGGCCTCTGATATAGTTTTGAATCCCCTATTCAATACAGTGATAATCCATCCCCAACCTCCAAGATCCATCTCTACCTCATATGGGGATTATCACAGTTTGCAGTGATAACAACTGGACATTCCTCAGCTAGCTATGTCTTAAACAAATCTTGCAGGAGGAAGCCAACTGCTATTATAGGTAATTTTTAAAGCATTCTCTCAAGGATGTGCATTTAAGTTGCCTTTAATGATATACCCTGGCTTAATTCTGCAAATAAGTCCTCATACAACCAATTTACAGACCAGAGAACTTAAAGCAATGAAAGCCTAGCAGTCTTGCTCATCTTGAACATAGCTGACCCATCATAGCAAAGAGCAGAAATCCTGCCAAGAATAGCTACAAAGACAAATTTTTGGTAATATCCCCAACCATCCCTGTCTTATGATCTGCTTCCTGACAGGCTTAGATCACCCAGATTTTAGCCAGTGATGGAAAATGGAGATGACTTGTGCTAAGGTTTCTGCATGTTGTCAATAAAACCTCCCTGTCACTGGTTCTCCCGTTTGGTTCCCTGAGCAGCTGTCCTGCAAGGTTACCAAAGCAAGCTATACCCACAGCTTCCACAGAGGCTACAATCAAAGCTGCACACTTCTCAACAGATTCCAGGCTCCATCTTTACCCACAGAATTGTATGAGTTGTCATTTTCACAAAATTCCTTGTGTTGTCAGAAAGCCAGAGATACTCGCTCCCAGAGCCCCAGCAAGGGTTAGAAATGCATTGACCCCTTTCACATATCTTTGTTTATCCTAGGCCCAAGGCAGGATGCAAACATTACAGCAGTGTTCAGTCATTTCTGAGGAGGCTGATACCCAGAAGACAATGTTGTGAATTCAGGCTCTGAATCACTGCCAAGTACATTGAGGAGCCCTTGCTAGAGTCCAACCAAGGAACTTCCTGCCTGCTTCTCCTTCTCCATCAAAGGACATTCTTTTCCCTCCAATTGAAACCCCAACTCTAATGTAACAGATTGCAGAAGAATAGGCTGTTTGGTGAGGAAGTTGGCAGACTGGTTAACCACAGAAGTGGTATAAAGCACAAAAGGTAATTTTTCAAAAGCAAAGTTGCTGTAGACAGATCAGAGCAGCACGAACCTCTACAATTCATCATGTGGAATATTAATTCAAGTGTTGTTTCCTTCATTATTGATGTTCTAAAACCTGGAAGATTTATCAGGCTGGAGAGGTTGCAGGAATTAAGCCCTTTTCTTTCTATGAACATTTTGGTATAAGGTAATGCAGAGTACAATAAAGTTGGGAGGGGAAAAGAGCTCTCTGCAGGAACAATGAAGGTCTGTAGAATTTGACAGCAGCCTGTCCATGCCCTTCGTGGGAAATGTCTTCACGCGTCTGTGTATGCATTCAAGCAGACACCAGGAAGAAGATGGAGAAGAGTCAGAACCACGTTATAAGAAACTCATATGAAGACTTGAAAATGTATCATGATATTAATATAAAGTATGTAGATACTTGCTGAGTACGGAGTAGATAGTCCTAATAACTGAGCTGACAAATATGAGTTATGCCGGAAAACACTTTTAGCACATTTTTATTTTAACTTATCTTAGGTGCAAAGAGGCATTTTTTTCTCTTATCAGAGCTTCTTAGTTACATAACCTACACATCTGTTAAGACATTTCTAAGTCTAACTTTGACTTACTTTCCAATGAAACAATGGAGGAAGGTCTCCTGGGAAAGAAGTTTCTTTGTCTCAATACCAAAAAAGGCTTGACAGTAAGGGGAGGGATTATTTCTCTTGAGCAGATATATTAACCATGCCTTTTATTTTCTGTATTCTGAGGATTTGACACCTGGTACTCTGCTGACAGTGGAGGGAGTCTCTCCAGGGCTGGCCAGTTGCTAGAGACAGTAAATGCCATGCCTGCAAGTATGTCTTTCAATCAAGGCACAATCTGAATCTCTAAACACTTCCTTATCTGGTCCTCATAATCCAGTGACTGTGGACTTGCCCTAACTGCCTCAGTGTCAGGTACCTGAAAACTCAGAAGAGCACCTGTGCTCAGAATCTGCTGAAATTACTCCAAATGTCCAATCCTAAGCCTGCTTAAAGGTGTCCTGCTTTAGTACTTTGGTGGTGGAGGGGGGAAGAGATGATAAAGTCTCTCACAATAGTGCTGTACTATGATGCCTTCTTCTTTCCACTTAGTTTACACTACAGGATGTTCTTGATCCCAGAAAGTTTCAAAATTATGGTTTTGGCCTTTTAGGGTACAGCAAAAAGCATTCACCTTTAAAGCTCTCTCAGGCAGGATGATCACGATGATGCCTGCAAAGCACTGGTGATTGGCCATGTCTGAAAGTCCCTCCAGGGAGCAGCCAGGAGGCCTTGAGCTGCTGAGCTTGTTGTCCTGAGGAGACCACCTTTGTACTTTTCCTTTGCTTGTTAAGAGCTTTGGTTTGGAACTATCTGGGGCTATTAAGGGTCTGGGTGACTTTTCCCCCTCCAGGGCCCATCTGGCCAGTCTGCTTCTGCCTGGGCTCAGCCCACTGGAAGGCACTGAGAGAGGCTGCTTTACGGGACAAAGTTTTGTATCAGGCTCAAAAAAGAGAAACAAGTTTTGTTACACAGATAGGATGAACAAATAAAGGGCAAATGGCTCTTCCTTACTTTACAGTCATACCTACAACCATCTCTGCTACCAGAAGAAATACCAACCAACAACAGAATCTGCCCACGATGGTCAAATCCCAGTCATATCACTCTGCTCATGAGTAATATAAAATAGTCTGTCTTCTCCTGCCTGCTCTGCGATCTTCACTTGTTGTCTCTGTACCCACACCGCCTGACTTTGATCCTAATGCTGAGCTGCATCATCCTCATTCACTTGCTTAGCTACAGACACTTCCTTTCAATTGTCAACACGCAGTCTGAATGCAAGGGATGGATGTAATCAAGCACAAATCTCAGTGCTTGGGCTCTAAAGTGGATACAAATGAGCAGCTGATTCACCAATTTAAAACCCTGTTACATCTTGGCCAACGGAACAAAATTAAGAGCCGAACTTGTCCAGCTGACAGTGAAGCCAACGATGCACTGCACACACAGCTGTAGTGTCGTTTCAGTTTATGTCTTTAACCTGAAAAGTGCATCACTGTCTACAACTGACACAACTCCACAGGAAAAACAAGTCAACTTGGAAAATGCAAAACCGTTTACTCAACTCAATTAGCAAAAGCAATACTCTTTCTGGAAAAAAAAATTCTAGACTTCCTTCTTCAACAAATCAGAAATTAGGCACACAGGAAACGAGTCAAGGACTAAGGAATATGAACAGGATCTGAGCACTTTTATCTGAATTAAAGAACAGAAACTCCGTACTTAGCCAAAAAAGGAATCACTACTTACCAACACCTTGTCTTGATTTTACTTTCCCAAATCCAAACCATGAGAAATCTGAAAACCACAACAGAACATAAAATAAACTTCGAAACAGAAGTGTAAACTAGAGGCAGACAGCACTGTCCTTAGCCAGATAATTGAACAACCCCTCCACCCAAAATAATAAAAATTAAAAGAAAAGAAAAACAAAATAAAAGCAGGGGACCAAGACTTTCTTTCATACACCTGGAAACTAACCCTTGTATATGTAGGTAAAGATTTATTTCTCATTCTGAGAACATGGAAGGAAGTTCAAATCAGATAACAGACAGGAGCCTGTCTTTAGGAAAAATGCTAACACCCAGGGTTAAGCACACAGGGAGCTATTTTCCTTCTTTCTCACTTTCTTTCTTGACGAAGTGGAGAGATCCTCACTCAGTACTGAATCATCTACCAGGAAAGTGGTAGGGATGAAGACTCACAATACATTTGACAAATGCACTATGGTTCTGAACCACAGCAATGTGGGGTAATAATGGGTAAAAACAGGTCTTTCCTGAAGCCAAAGTGGACAGCAAAAAAAAAAAAAAAATTAAATAAATAAAAGGAACCTGAAATCTCATGGGAGACCCGACACATGGGGTGAATTAGGATTCAAGAGGGGCAAGGGATCTTAATTCTACATGGATTCTCCCTAGTGGCTTAGTGTGTGACAGTGGGTAGTAGGCAGCAGCCCTGTGCTTTTCTGATACAGGGCTCTGCTAGGCACGTATGAGGAAAGACCCCAGATGTTTGGAGTAGAGGGTGTCTAGTGAATGTAGCCCCCAGGAAATGTCTCTTTGAGCTTGGCTCTTTGGCCCTTCTAGGTATTTCCACTGGTTTCAAAGTGAATTCTATGCAGCAGGCAAATCCCTGGATATGAGACAGATAAAGAGAATGGAGCCCAAATAAGTTACTGTGCTTCTGTGATCTTCAGTTCCGTAGTGGTTTTTACAGAGAGTGAAAATAAGAAGCCAGGTAGAAAGAGAACCTATTTAAGACAAACAGTGTATGGAAAAACTCCTTGCATGCTCAAGGATGCCTTACAAAGTTGCTATGAAGATTTTTTTTTACTTTTTTCCCAAGTATACTGTAGGCTTTGCCTTCCTGGTGTCCTACAACTTCAGCCCTCCAACCTCAAAGCCAATGTCTGCTTCTGATGGCTATCCCTCTGAATGCTTCCTCCTAGGTTTTGGGAGACAAGATGACAGCCTGGCCTCAATCCAAAGCCAAAGAAAGATTCTTTTGCAGAGAAGACTGAGCTTCAAAGCTTTGAGTGCAGCAAGGCAGAGTTGTGCTTAAGGATCTGACAGTCACAACCAACCCCACTCAAAATGGTGTGTATTTCCTACAGAAGATGTTTTAGTCTTCTATGTTTGCTTTCCCTTTTTGAAAATTAAATGGGAGTTCTGTGTCTTCAATAAATGAAAGTGAACATTCAATACTTTATTATAAAACAGTCTTTGTGTCAGAGGACTTTTTTCGCCTGTAGACTAATATAAATATTCTGAACATGTTTAAGGTAAACTAGCTAGGTTAAACTATGATGTTCAGTAGGTCAGGTGTGTTAAATGCATTTTTGACTTACTATATTTTCAACTTACAATGGGTTTATCAAGACGTAATTCAATCATAAGTTGAGGAATATCTGAACTCACTCACCATGAGTTGTCCAGTTATTGCTCAGTCACTTTCTCGTCAGTGGGACACAATACCCCACATCCACACTTAGGAAGGGAGGTTTTTTTTGGCTCACACTTTCAGAAGTTTCAGTCCATATTTAGCAGATTTAAAGACATAAGCAGCACGATGGAAGGGACTAGGCAGAGGAACGCTGCTCATATCATGGCAGCCAGGAAGCAGAGTAAAGGGAGGAGCTAGGGAGGAAGATGCACCTTCCAGTGACTTGTCTCTTCTGACTAGACCCCAAACCCTAACAGCAAACTCAGTCCACTGATGAGCACAGCACCTCCATGATCCAATCACTTTCCAAAGGCCTTCAGGGGAACATTCTAAATCTAAACCATAATATGGGATGAGTGTGCCAGGGGATTGATGTAACTGAAATGTGAAAAAACAGAAATATAAGCAAAGGCTGACTCAATCATTTGGATTTTATAGTGAAAATTGTGATGAGGCTATTTTTGTATTTATTTTTGTTATAATTACATTTTTATTTCTACTGATACATTTTTGCAGTACATAATGATTAAGGCATATGTTTTGTTTTGTTTTGTTTTTCCTTCCGGTACCAGGGATAGAACTTAGCACCTTCCACTTTCGAGGCAGGCGTCGGAACCACTGAGCTAAATCCCCGGCTAAGGCATATGTTTTTAAAGATGGACTTTAAGATGGAATTGAATTTAGAAAATAGCAAAACTCTCAATTTATGGATTATATTTTCTCTAAATTGCCTCTTTTTCCTTTAACCTAATTCCTTCAGATTTCTCATTTGTTAATTCCAAAATCTGTGTTCTTACAAAAATATGAGAAAATTCTGAAATTGTTTTTTTTTGTTCATTAAGTTTATTGAAACATTCTAGGTATACATTATGATCACACTGATCGTTGGGAATTTGTACCTGTAATGACGTATCGTTGAAAAATCCATCTTAGGTTAGGAATTAAGATTATGAAGATTAAATTTAGAAAACATTGCTTTGGCTTCCGAGCAGAGTCTGGATTTTGGGAGAGAAAAACTAAGAGTGAGAGATGTTTGTGAGGCTTTAAGAAAAATCAAGACATGAAGGCACTGTGACCTGAGCTGGGTACCGGGCAGTGGACCAGTGAAGAGCAGGAGGCGAGGCGACTGCCGTGATGAAGGAAACCAACAGGCCTTGAGGACTGACTGCAAGTGGGGGTGTAAAGAAGGGCTGGGAAGAGTCCAGGGCAAAACAGTGAGGTGTATGGTGATGCTGCCTATAGAGCCGCCAAGGAACTTGGAGAGGAAAGCAATGTAGGACTCAAACTGAGTAATGCTTTACCTCATGAATCCCAGGTAAGGTTATTTACGGACAAAATGAGAGAGGACTATGATAGTTTGGATCTCAGATGCCCTCAGAAGCCCCCTGTTAAATGCTTGGTCCCTGGAGTGGTACTGCAGGGAGGTAGGGGACTCTTCAGCAGGTGGGGCCTAGCAGGTCTTCTAGTTGCTGCAGGTGTGCCCTTGAGGGAGCTGTATGACCCCAGGCTCCTACGCACTCTCTTTGCCCCCGGGCCATCAGGTGAGCAGTTTCTGCTCCCTGACATGGACACGTTCCAGCCAAGATGTGCTAATCAATAAGCCAGAAGCAGTGAGCCAACCAGTGATGGCCTGGACTCTCCCAAACTGCAAGCCCGAAATAAAGCTTTTCTTTTTATAAGTTGATTTTTTTTCAGTTATATTTGTTACTGTGACAAAAAGCTAACATAGGCAAACATCAGGTGGCAAAACGGTCCGGAGCTTAGGTCACAGTTTTAAGAGCCAAAATGGAGCTGCTGCAGTTCTAAAGCCCAGGTGTGAAATGGAGGATGAAAGGTGGCCTCTGTACTTAGGGTTAATTTCTTATTTGGGCACAGACAGAATCTCTTTTTTTTTTTCTTTAAACATGCATCCAATTGAGGTCAACTTTTTTGACAAAATCACTTCTAAATAGCTGAAGTATTTTGAAGCTCTCCTTAAAAGGAGCTCAAACCTTACATAGAAGAGAATATAATTTTCTGGATCATACCTCGGAATACCTGGAAAATTCAACAGATCAAATTCAGGAAGGTCAAACTGGTCGCTCTTCCTGGAAGCTGCTAGTCATTCAACAGCTCTTTCATGATGATTGAAGCAGTAGTCTTAAAACGTTAATACTAAATTTCATTGGCAAAATTTTCCCAGGAGCCCAAAAAGAAACAATTTCTCAATTCCCTGTGATGTTTCCACCCATTGAGAGTAGAGTCCTGCCAAACTTTCTTTTATTTTCTGTTTATAAGAAAAACGTTATTCACAGCAAAATAAAGGGCTCTTTCAAAAGCAGAGTTGCAGTGAGCTCACAGAATGCTCTCCATTTTGGAATCTAGACCAACAAAGATTCTAAATTATGAAATTAACCAATTAAATTTATCTGATTTTTTTTTAAAAGCTCAGTCTTTTTCTTGACTACAGGAGAGGAACTTGGTAAAAAATAGTACATTAACAGCTCAAAGATAGAATTTAAACCAAATAAAATAAATAGTAAAACAGATTACTTTTCAAATGTCTCTCAGAGGAAACAGTTACAATCTACAGAGCTGGAAAGGAGTATTTACGAAGGTAGTGAGGAAGTTATAAGAGAAAGGAGCCAGAAACAGAGAAAATGGGAGAAACCTGACCTTCCCCATAGGTGCGGAATTGCACAAACACTAACTGTGATATTTAGAAGGGGTTTGATCTCAGGAGAATTCAGTTTCCAGATTTTTTTCCCCCAAACTTTAGAAAAATTACTTTAGTGTGTAAAGAAAAAAAAAAAACTTAGCTCTTGTTCTTTTAACTGAGGAAAATTCACTATGTTCTCAAAAGAAATTTCTTTATATGTTAAGGTAAAACTCACCAGCCTGTCCTCTCAAGAAAGGTGTCTCTACGGGGTGATGGAAGCAAATGGGAAAAGGTGATTCACTGCAGAAATGTGCCTCACCCAGCTTCCCAGGGCCCCACCTTCCCCTGGGGCACCATGGAAAGGGGAGGTTTAGGCTGCCCTGCAGCACTGAGCTTGCCTAGGGGCTGGAGAAACTAATCCCAACACCTGAGCCCCTGTCACTTCAAAGAACTGGAGTGACTCTCACTGGAGTACAGGAAGGGAATGCAGAGGACCACCTTCCCAACAGGGGAGTCAGCCCCCTTTCCTATTGACATATCATCAGAATGAGTAATAGTTGGTTTCAAATTAATTCCAGTTCCTCAGGGCACAGAACAGTGTAGTTTGAGGCCAACTTTCCACTTCCATTTAATCTTCTACTCAAGGACGTAACCTTTATAAAAGAACTTTCCATCTCTCCAGTCTGGGAAAAGAGCTTGGTTTGAGTTAAACTGG